GCTAAACATGCCCAGTTCCTTAAGCCGCTCCTCATAGGGCTTGTTCTCCAGACCCTTGATCATTTTAGTCTCACCCTCCTCTGGACACATTCCAGCTTGTCAATATCTCTTCAATTGTGGTGCACAGAAGCGGACACAACTAGACTTCGTGTCAAGGGGAAACCTTTACCTTTACTATCATTGTATTATTATTATTACTATCCTGAAGTGAATATTTTTGCCTCCTTTCTGAATGGTCTCCCTCTCGCTCTTTTCTCCTTGCAGGGTGCCATCAACCATTATCATTATATTATTATTACTAGCCATCCCCTGCCACGCGTTGCTGCGGCCAAGCAACATGTGTTTTGTGTGTGTATATGTGTGTGCGTTTGTGTATATGTGTGTTGGCGTATATGTGTTTTGCGCATGCGTTGTAATGCAATTTTGTGGGATTTTTTTTTTTTTGCTTTTTAAGTCTCTCCTGCTGTGTTTTTCATTGTTTTATGAGTGATGGTCACTCGTTGGCCTTATAGATGTCTTGTGTCCAAATTTGGTGTCAATTCGTCCAGTGGTTTTTGAGTTGTGTTAATCCTACAAACTAACATTACATTTTTATTTATATAGACTAGCTGTCCCCTGCCATGCGTTGCTGTGGCCCACATGGGGGTTCTGTGTGGGAGGTCTGGCCCAATTCTATCGTTGGTGGGGTTCAGAATGTTCTTTGATTGTAGGTGAACTACAAATCCCAGCAACTACAACTCCTAAATGTCAAGATTCTATTTTCCCCAAACTCCACCAGTGTTCACATTTGGGCATATTGAGTATTTGTGTAGAGTTTGGTCCAGATCCATCATTGTTTGAGTCCACAGTGATCTCTGGATGTAGGTGAACTACAACTCCAAAACCGAAGGACACTGCCCACCAAACCCTTCCAGTATTTTCTGTTGGTCACGGGAGAACTGTGTGCCAAGTTTGGTTCAATTCCATTGTTGGTGGGGTTCAGAATGTTATTTGATTGTAGGTGAACTATAAATCCCAGCAACTACAACTCCCAAATGACAAAATCATTTTTTTGAGTGAAGGACATACATTGGGTTGTTAGGTGTCTTGTGTCCAAATTTGGTGTCAATTTGTCCAGTGGTTTTTGAGTTATGTTAATCACACAAACTAACATTACATTGTATTGCGAAGGCTTTCATGGCTGGAATCAATAGGTTCTTGTGGGTTTTTTCGGGCTATATGGCCATGTTCTACAGGCATTTTCTCCTGACGTTTCACCTGCATCTATGGCAAGCATCCTCAGAGGTAGTAACATTACATTTTTATATAGATTTTTATTTATATAGCTACTACTACTAGCTTGATTTCAAAAAGGCATGATTTCAAAAAGGAACACGTGGCAGGGGACCGCTATTATTGTTATATTATTTGTATTATTATTATTTGAATATTTCTGCCTGCTTCTTGAATTGTGTTCCTCCCGCTCTTCTCTCCTTGCAGGGTGCCATTAAAAGGAGCCTGGATCCTCCGCAGGAAGTGGTTCCCCCAAAGAGGAAGCTTCCTTCGCCCCAAAGGAAGAGGAAGAGGAAGGGCATGCTTTTGCCCCAGGGCTCCAGACCGCCAGCCTCTGCTTTGAAGAAGCCCCCAAACGAAGGGAAAGGAAGCAAGGACAACGGAGGCAGCAGTACTGTGAAAACCTCCAGCCTCTTCCGGAATAATCCCGAAATTCCCGAGATCAAGAGGTATTTCCTTTCTTAAAAAACGATAGATTTTAAAACACTCACGAGAAGCTGATAATGTAACCAAGCCATCAGCCAGTCTGATTTTGCGGGATTCATTTCAGCTTGTTTGACCCCCTCCCTTCAGGATGTATTTGTAATAATGGACCTTTTCCTTTTCCTTTGCAGAATCCCGGTGCAGCAAGTGCAGGAGAAGGTCTTCACCTCGGACTCCTTTGACCAGCTGGGCCTCCATCCACACCTGGTCAGAGCCATGGCTGCCATAGTTGCTAGGCCTGGGGCCAACTTGGGCCCTCCCTCCAGGTGTTTTGGACTCCAACTCCCACCATTCCTAACAGCCGGAAGGCTGTTAGGGTATTCTGAGGCACCCATAAGGAATGCCGGCAATTCAAACAAAAGGGGGAAGTTACAAACAAAGCTCTTCAGCAGGGAGATGGAGTGACAGCACCTCCCTGTGGCCAGAACCGAGCACAAAACCTCCAAGATGCCGAAGATGGGAAAAGCCAATATATACCTCTATCTATGTATAATTGTCTCTCTTGTTTGTGTATAAAACGATATTGAATGTTTGCCATATATCTATGTTCTGTGATCTGTCCTGAGTCCACTTCGGGGTGAGGAGGTCGGAATATAAATATTGTAAATAAATAAATAAATAAACAAACAAACTTAATTCTTTTCTTGTAAGTTTTCTGTTGTTACTTTCCATTATTTTGTATTATTTTGATGTGTCTGTACCTATTTTAAGGCATTGAATGTTTGCCTTTTTATGTGTAAATGCCCTGAGTTCTTCTGGGGAGAGAATGAGGTCTAGAAAAAAAAAATTATTATTATTATTATTATTATTATTATTATTATTATTATTATATATTAAAATCGAAGGATGGTGAACCAAAAATGTTAACTTGACCAATTTAAACTCATTACATTTTAACAAAGTTTAATATACTAAATTTCACAAGTTGAAACAAAATAGTTTTAAACCAATCGAAGCAATTTAAATCCAGATACCTGGGCAGATTTGAATCAAATTAATTAGGTTTCAAAGCCTTGAGTTTAAACAAAACATATTCCTATCTGGCACTGGAAGAATGCTAGAAAGCAAACTGTCAAAAGATCATTCGCATAGGAACATGTTCAGCCCTCTTTTGAATCTTATTGTATTATTATTCACATACTCTATCCACAGTGATGTCTTTCACAGTATGTTGTATAGAACTGGGCTTTGTAGGACAGGTGTGTACAAATGTTTATTAACAACCTGATAGTATAGTTGTCATAATTATTAAGAGAGGGCATGGGTCATGTCTGCATATGTTTGCCTTATTTAATTAGTGCTATATAAACCAAAACCAGTAGTTATCAAACAGTGGGTTGTGACCCTTGAGAGGGCATGAGCCCCAAGAGGGCATAATAATAACAATAATTTCTTCTCCACCTCTCCTTGAGGTGGGGCAAAACTCAGTTGTAACACACAATCATAAAGCATTGTGTAAGATACATATATTAAAATATATTTCTATGAAGCACATATATTAAAATACACAGAAAAAATATTAAAATATAGAAAACCTAAACTCTTGGATGTGGGAGTGGACTTTAAACCATATCTTAAGAACTCCATTCCTACTCATAGTGATGTGGAGGCTTAGCAATGAGAATTAATGTTTTTCGTACCTCCTCCAAAGCTTGGATTAGTTGCACCGTCTTCCTTCCTGCGGCAGTGGAGTCCTCATAGTTTAGAGACATTATCTGTTTGGAGATTTCTCTGAACCAAGCTTGTAGGTTTTCTGTTTGGGCAGGAAGAGAGACAAGACATTAGCCATTTAAATTCAAAGATCCAGTTTACAAACTGCATGTTTTCAGATGTCAGCAATGGTTTTAGAAGAGAACAATAACACAACCAACAAAAACATATTTTTCTTGGTGACTTGTTATTTTAGGCCGGTTTCTGGAATTATCTGGTGCACAGATATGGAAAATTGCATTGGATAGACTGCATCGGCTCTAGTTTCTTAGGTATAGTTATCATGGTTTCTTACGGGTGAGCAGATGAAGCTTGGAAGATGGCATATGTTCTGTAATTCAAAAACTAGAGCTGATAGGAGAAAACTGGTGACAATTTTGGAATTAGCAGGTTAAATATACCCAGAAACAGTCACCAAAACACATGTTAGTCAGTGTAATTATTTAGGTTTGAGGTGGATTCTGTTGCACGCAAATAAATCAAAGTTTCACAAAACTTTGCAAAAACAAGCGTCAAATCTGTCAAGGCAGTGAACAAATCATCACTTCCAAAATGTCTAAAACAGGGGTCCTCAAACTTTTTAAACAGAGGGTCAGGTCACTGTCCCTCAAACTGTTGGAGGGCCGGATTGGTCACTGTCCCTCAAACTGTTGGAGGGCCGGATTATAATTTGAAAAAAACACATAAATGAATTCCTGTGCACACTACACGTATCTTTTTTGTAGTGCAAAAACCACATAAAAACAATACAATAATTAAAACAGAACAGTTTTAACAAAAATAAAATTATTAGTATTTCAATGGGAAGTGTGGGCCTACTTTTGGCTGATGGGATAGGATTGTTGTTGTTGTGTGCTTTCAAGTCCTTTCAGACTTAGGTTGACCCTGAACGAGGGCCGGGTAAATGACCCTGGAGGGCCGTATCCGGCTCCCGGGCCTTAGTTTGAGGACCCCTGGTCTAAAACAACAGAAAATGTCTCCCTCAAAGTGAAACATGTGCTTTGTTCTTGCACAAAAAGTATTTACTTGATACAGTACTGTTGCCTCATTCACAAAGTCACAACAGTTCAAATAAAGTAAAAACAACAACAACAGCACAATAAAACCATATTAAAAAGATATTAGAGAGCTGGACCACTACTGCACTGAAATGCATTGAACTTGCTATCAAGCAGCTCCATATTTTCACAAAGTAAGGAATAAATAACAAAAGGGTTGCTTACTGCTTACCATTTTTCTCTACTCTTGTTAGAGGTTTTACACCTGAAAAGACGTCTGCCAGTTCGGCCATCCTTTCCGATCCCTCTTTTCTGTAGCTTTCCCATTTTGATTGCTTTTCTGATAACATCTGTTTAAACATCTAATGAATAAACAAAAGGAATTCTTGGTTTAAATCAGAAAAGTAAAGGCAAAATTGCAGCAATACCAACGTTATGCTTTAATATCAGTTGATCCCTCTAGATACAGGTTGAGTCTCCTTTATCTAAAATGCTTGGGACCAGAAGTGTTTTTGATTCCGGATTTTGGAATACTTGTATTTGCATGGAAGAATACAAACAGGTATAAGGAAATGGGACCCAAATTAAAGTATGCTTCATCAATACTTTCTACACATAGCAATTTAATGCACAATAGTTTTAACAATTGTGTGCCTGAAACACAGTTTGTGTATATATTGAACCATCAAAAAGAAAAAAAAAGTTATCACCATCTCAGCCATTCAAATTGAACATGTTGGAGTATTTTAGATTTTGGAATTCCAGACAAGGGAAACTCAATCTGTATTAGAAAAAAAAAACTGTATAGCAGTAAAGATCACTGTATGATATCAATGGAATCCCTTGGGAAGAGGCGGACAAATGTCAGCGTGCTGGAAGAAGCAAAGATCACCAGCATTGAAGCGATGCTCCTACGCAATCAACTCCGCTGGACTGGTCACGTTATCCAAATGCCCAAAGGTCACCGTCTCCCAAAGCAGTTACTCTACTCCAAACTCAAGAACAGGAAACGTAATGTTGGCGGGCAGGAAAAGAAAACTAAAGATGGGCTCAAAGCCAACCTCAAAAACTATGGCATAGACATGGAGAACTGGGAAGCCCTGGACCTTGAGCATTCCAACTGGAGGTCAGCTGTGACCAGCAGTTCTGCAGAATTTGAAGAGGCACGAATGGAGGGCGAAAGGGAGAAATGTGCCAAGAGGAAGGCGCGTCAAGCCAACCCCAACCGGGACCGCCTTCCACCTGGAAACCAATGTCCTCACTGAAGGAGAACATGTGGATCAAGAATAGGGCTCCACAGCCATCTACGGACGCACCATCAAGACACCACATCTGGAAGACAATAATCCTCGGAGCTATGAGGGATCACCTAAGTAAGTAATCAATGGAATAGCTGAAGACGGAAGAAAATATGAAATACTTTAAAATGTCTTTAGAAGAAAAAATGATTGTGCAACTGAATGCTGTAAGGAATTTTCAAGGGAAGTTTCTACCTTCTTCACAGAGTTCTTTCCCATGCATGTGCGCATATATACATACATACACACACATACGCGCGTGCGCGCTAGCGCATATACACCTGAGCATGCAAAACTGCTAGCTAGGTATTTTACCTCTTTCAAGATGAATTCAAATTGTGCCGTATCCAGGAGAAGCTGGAAAAGTATTTTGGGATTGTACTTGGAATCTGTTAAAACTTGGTCTTTTATTTGCCGAAGGCGCTTGTTATTGGGATCATAACCTAGAGCGAAATAGAAGAAGAGAATGACAAATGCTTTTTCCAGAAACAGAGGAACTCTTTTTAAAATTACCATGAATACAGCACATATAACCGACTCAAATCTGCAACAAACCCAGCGTTGTGCTTTACAGTGTTGTGATTGCAGGGGGTTGGAATACATGGCCTTTGCCAACTCTATTATTCCATGATTATTGATGTGCTGCTTTAAATTATGAGGAACGTGAACAAGCCGAAACAAGGCAAGGCATTACCCAAATCGGCCGTATGAAGCATCAGCCATCGGATGGCCACGTTGCAGTCCCTCAGGCAGTTCAGCAGCTTGGGGATGTTGTCCAGCACCAGCTCCTCTCTCAAGCAGCCTTCCTTCAGAAACTGCTGGACCTGAGTGTGGACACGTGCTGTGACCGCAGCAGACCGGCTGGCCTTTGGGGACAGAAAAACAACAACAATGGAGCATCAGCAGAAAAGGAGGACAATGGGGAGGGAACACAATTGCAAGAATAGAAATACTTCCAACCAGGAGCGTATCAAGTTTTGGAACACATACCAATAAACAGCTAGTGATATCAATATTTTGCCTGTCATTACCCCACTGTTCCCCCCCCCCCTTATATCTTTGAAACTGCATCCAGATTTCCCTATTCATGGATTCTACACCCACAGATTCAACCACCCATGGATATAAAACAGGCCCGGGCAAACTTGGGCTCTCCAAGTTTGCAGAAGCATACGAGAAGCTTGGCCTCTCATTGAACATTGAGAAAACTAAAGTGCTCTTTCAGCAGTCACCAGCCAATCCCTCTGCAATGCCAGGAATACAGCTTAATGGTGCAATGTTAGAAAATGTTGTCCATTTCTGCAACCTTGGCAGCCACCTCTCCACAAAACTCAACACTGACACTTAAATACAACATGGCCTGAGCTCTGCAAGTGCAGCATTTTTTCAAATGAAGCAGAGAGTGTTTGAGGATGGAGACATTTGTAGGGATACCAAGTTGCTTGTTTATAAAGCCATTGACCTCTCAACACTGCTATATGCTTGCAAAATGTGGACTGTCTACAGACGTCACACTCAACTCCTGGAATTATTCCATCAGCTTTTGCCTCTGAAAAATCCTGCAGATCTCTTGGGAAGACAGGCAGACAAATGTCAGTGTGCTGGAAGAAGCAAACATCACTAGCATTGAAGCGATGCTCCTATGCCATCAACTCTGCTGGACTAGCCATGTTGTCTGTATGCCCGATCACCGTCTCCCAAAGCAGCTACTATACTCTCAACTCAAGAATGGAAAACAGAAAGTTGGTGGACAGGAAGAGAGATTTAAAGATGGGCTTAAAGCTAACCTTAAAAACTGTGGCATAGACACCGAGAACTGGGAAGCCCTTGCCCTTGAGCACTCTAATTGGAGGTCAGCTGTGACCAGCAGTGCTGTGGAATTCGAAAAGGCACAAATGGAGGGTGAAACATGCCAAGAGGAAGGCGTGTCAAGCCAACCCTAACTGGGACCACCTTCCACCTGGAAACCAATGTCCTCACTCTGGAAGAACATGTGAATTAAGAATAGGGCTCCACAGTTACCCACATATCTATCGCCAAGACACTACACTCGGAAGGACATCATTCTCAGGCTTCAAGGGATTGCCTAAGTAAGTAAGTATTTAAATTTTTCCCACCTTTCTCCTGATACAGGGACACAAGGTGGCTAGCAGCAAACATGACATAATACAATTGAAACAGAGCAAATGCATTAAAATATAAAAATAATATAATTAAATATTGAATATCATGAAGCCAATATTAAAACACACTTTAAATGACACAGCCCCCAAACATCTCAAACATTCTTATGTGCAAACTTCCAAAACACATGTCTTCATCAAGCAAAGATGGTGAAAAAGAAGGGTTTTCTTTTTTCAAAAAAGGTTTTGTTATTGTTGTTAGTTCCTGTCAAATCAGCCATTAGAGCCATATGAGGCCTGTTGGTTGTATGACTCCCTCTGCAGTTTGTAAGTAGGTTTACAACTAGAGTGAGGAGTGGCTTTCCAGAGGTTTCTAGAATACATGTCCCATCCGTCTTAGAGAGTAGAGCTAATGGTGAGGGATAACAGTTGCTGCAGCCCAACAATATTGTCAGCAATGCTCTCAAGTTATCCATCTGGTGTAGATTTGCAGAGCAAGAGGCTCTTAGAAAGCTATACATTAAACCAGAAGCATCATATGTCACAGCCTGTTTGCAAGAAATACTGTTTCACATGAAATCCTGCTTTCCTTGAGTTTCCAAGTGAGTCTTGCTTACCTGTTCC